AAAGAGTATTGAGATTGCTGTTGTAGAGTTAAAGCGTATTGTTATGTCCAACGGATTACCCGCCCCAAATCCCGTTATTTTGGCGCTGATGATTTGAGCAACTGGTAATTGCACGATACGGCACGCAATTAATTTTTTTTAGTTGAATGCTATTTTGAAGAGAATTGGCAGATTAATTTTGGTGTGCCGGCCCAAAATGGGTATTGTTGAGAGGGAACAAAGATGGGCAAGTATTGTACGACAACCTTGAAAATAATGAATAGGGCCAAAAAATGGGTCCATAAGTAGGAACAGAATTCTTTTTGGCTAGTCCTTCCTACCCTAGGAAAAAATTTGCAGCGACGGGAGTATGTGCTATTAGAAATGCAAGAAAGTGTGCAATATGTGCTTTCATTACTACTGACCTCTCTCGTAATAATCACAGTCAGCCCTTTGTTATGGCACTTACAGCTATGACCTCTGATTACAGAGGATTTTATACTAAGGAAAGCCTAGCCTTAGCCTTAGCCTTAGCCTTAGCCTTAGCCTTAGACTTAGCCTTAGCTTTAGCCTTAGCCTTAGCCTTAGCCTTAGCTTTAGCCTTAGCCTTAGCCTTAGCCTTAGCCTTAGCCTTAGCCTTAGCCTTAGCCTTAGCCTTAGCCTTAGCTTTAGCCTTACCTTTAGCTTTTCACCGTATTATGGAGATACAAATGTATTGACAAAACTTTCTCTTCAGGACCTTTTTACCTTTCGTTTAAACTTCAATTGTCATCATTTTCCAAGCTATACTAACCCGCCCATTACTAACTCCCTACCGTGTTTTTCACGCCCAAATCCTAAAATTTGTTTCAAAACCCAAACCCATTCCCATAGCCCTCAAATTTGTCTATAAAGTTTTGAAACGGACGTGCTGCGCGAAAAAGATGGGGGGAAACAAAATTCGGAGTCCATTTTTTGATATTATACGGGTGTTTGGAGTTAAAGTAGAGCCGCAAAAAGCGGGCGCCGGGGCAAAATTTGGACGGCATTGAAATTAAAACGGAACATACGCTTCCGACACGTAGTTTGCAAGGTTATCCTGGGCCATAACAATAAGGCTGATGGGGGTGGGGTGATAAGGGTGAGGTGGGGGTAGGGAAGGGTTGGTTAGGAATTGTGGTACTAAAGGATAATGCTGGGGTAGAAAAAGGTGATAAGTTTGTTAGCGTGTGGGTTTATAAGAATAAGCTGGGGTAGTGAAAGGTAATGAGTTGGAGTTGATTAGAAGGTCTTCTCATTAGAATAAGGTGGATAAGGAAAGGTAATAAGTCGGCTAAGGGGAGGTAAAGAATGATAGGAATAATGGGTTGGACAGGTGGTGGGGTGATAAGGAGATCAATAAGGTAGAGAAGGTAAGGGTAATTGGTTGTTTGGGGTGGGGGAGGGGATAATAAAAGTTAAGGAAGGGGTAGGAAAGGTCATGGCTTGGTTAGGTGGTGGACAATATAGTAAGTGGGAGGGGGGGGTAGGATAGGGTAGTGGGTTGGGTGGGTACGAGGTAAGGTGATAATGATAAGGTAGGGGTAGGGAAAGGAGATGGGTTGGTTAGGGTCTGGAATGACATGGATTTTTCTAGAAAGTGAGGGGAGGGGGTAATTTTTTTTACATTTTTGTATTTCCCTCCCCCCCCCCTCCTTCTTCCCAAAAAAACACCCCCCTTCTCTACCCACCCCCTCCTCTCTCTCTCCCCCCCCATTCCTTCCACAAAACCTTTCTACCCCTTCTTTACCTCTAAAGTCAAGTACCCTTACTCCTCTTCCCCTCTTACCCTCTAGTACCATCTCAACCCTCTCTCTTTGCCCAAGGATAATCTCTGACACATAACCATGAAATTACTTTACCATAAACGGGTTAACATATTACAACTCGATTTGTCGTTTATATCGTTGTTTTTTGTTTACACGGAGGGCGAATGTCTTCTTGACACGAACATTGGCTATTTAAAGCGCGTTTTTATTAGTACGAAAAATATTTTTTGGCTGAGTTTTTCGATTTTTACAATTCCTGAGGGGCTCTGGGGGTGGAGGGGGGAAGAGGAGAAGTTTTTTTTTATTTTATAAAAATTAAAAAAAATTTTTTTTTTGTAAATTACGATATACATAATGCATCTCACACAGTAAAAAATTTGAAATTGGCATAGCAGACATGTTATACGATCAATCATGCCCAATAGCATAAGTTTTAGTTTTCAGTAAAAAAAGCCTAAATATGTCACACTCGGCGAGAGTATGTCACATTCAAAAGAGAGTGCATGACTTTGTCGAGTAAGGTAAATGAATATAAATTGGTTAGAAATTTCAACACGCCACGAAATATGCGAATTAATTTTTTTTCGGCCAAAACGCACTTAACACCACGTTTTATGTTTATTGTAGTTGTAGGTAATGTAGTGTGTAGGTAATGGGGAAAAAGGAAATCTTAAATTTAGTACAAGTTGACGTAATGCTGAGTTGTTTTGACGGCGATTTTGTTGGGTAGGGTAAGGTTGGGCAAGGGAGAGTAAGGTAGGGTAACGTAGGATAAGGTATGGCAATCTAAGGAAAAGTAGGGTAGGGCAGGATAAAGTGGGTCAAGGTAGGGTAAGGCATGGTATTTAGTGGTAGGGGAGATTATGGCATGGCTATTTTTAGTCGGGCAGTGTACTGTAAAGGCTAGTTTGGGTAGGGTAGGACAGGTTAGTATATGGTGTTTCGAGCTGGGACAGAGCAAATAGGTAAGATAAGGTAAGGTGGCAAAGAGCAGGGTAGAGTAGGGTAGGGTAGGGTAGGGTAGGGTAGGGTAGGGTAAGGTAGGGTAGGGTAGGGTGGGGTAGGGTAGGGTAGGGTAGGGTAGGGTAGGGTGGGGTAGGGTAGGGTAGGGTAGGGTAGGGTAGGGTAGGGTAGGGTAGGGTAGGGCGGGGGTAGGGTAGGGTAGGGTTGGGTAGGGTAGGATGTTTTTTTTAAAGATTTATTAAATTTTTTTTTAGTTTTGAACTTTTGTTACCTAAAATTAAAAATTTGTTTAAAAGAGACTTTCTGAGACCGTGAAGCATCCTGTAACAGGCATGTGCACTAGAAATTTACCACCTGTTTTTATTTGCTAAATCCATGAGATAGACGGTTTTAAGGTATGTGGTAAAGTGATTTCGGACAAAATGCCGTTTTGGCACTTTTATGCCATTTTTTGTTAACATACTGTTAAAATATACTAAAAAATCAATAGTCCGCCAAATGTTCTGAAAATTTGTACACTTACGTTTTTGACCATGCCAAAAAATATTGTAATTGAAAATTTTTTTCTATCGGTACCGTAACCTACCGTAATCCGACCGGTCGATTATAAAAGTGCAAATATCTAAAAAGTTAACACGGATCTTCACAAGCAATTTTTGCATATTTAAAATCTCTATGAAATTTGGACCAGCATAGGCTATACACCCGTTTCTAGTCCGATGGGTTTTGGGGGTTTTTGGTCGACTGAAAAATTACGGTAGCAGACCGTGCAAATAATAAATTTTTTTTTAAATCCAATCATGCATCGAACGCTTTGAAACTGTGCATGGTTATGTTTCTGATCATGCTAAACAACTTCGTAATAAAAAATGGTTTTTAAAAGTACCGTAACCTACCGTAATCCGGCCGGTCGATTATCCTCAAATTAAGGACACCCGTGTTAAATTTTTAGAAAATTGCACTTTTATAATCGACCGGTCAGATTACGGTGGGTTACGGTACATTCAGGAAGAAAATTATATTACAAAGTTGTTCAGCATGGTAAAACACGTAAGCATGCAAATTTTTAAACTTATCAGTGCATTAGCAAAGCCATAGTGAAATTTTAAATTTTTAGGCAGTACGTTACCGTAATTTTTCAGTCGACCAAAAACCCCCAAAACCCATCGGACTAGAAAAGGGGGTATAGCCTATGATAATCCAAGTTTCATGTAGATTCTAAATATACACAAATTGCTTATAAGGATCCGTGTTAACTTTTTAGATATTTGCACTTTTATAATCGACCGGTCGGATTACGGTAGGTTACGGTAATGATAGAAAAAAATTTTCAGTTGCAATATTGTTTGGCATGGTCAAAAACATAACTATCCACAATTTCAAAACGTTTGATGCATTATTGGATTTTTTAAAAAAATTTTATTTTCTGCACGGTCTGCTACCGTAATTTTTGAATCGACCAAATACCCCCAAAACCCATCGGACTAGAAACGGGTGTATAGCCTATGCTGGTCCAAATTTCATAGAGATTTTAAATATGCAAAAATTGCTTGTGAAGATCCGTGTTAACTTTTTAGATATTTGCACTTTTATAATCGACCGGTCGGGTTACGGTAGGTTACGGTACCGATAGAAAAAAATTTTTAATTACAATATTTTTTGGCATGGTCAAAAACGTAAGTGTACAAATTTTCAGAACATTTGGCGGACTATTGATTTTTTGGTATATTTTAACAGTATGTTAACAAAAAATGGCATAAAAGTGCCAAAACGGCATTTTGTCCGAAATCACTTTACCACATACCTTAAAACCGTCTATCTCATGGATTTAGCAAATAAAAACAGGGGGTAAATTTCTAGTGCACACCTTGCTTCACGGTCTCAGAAATCGTCTTTTAAAATACGACATTTGAGGTCGTGAGTATGTTTTATCAAGTTATAATGACGACAAGCAAGTGCTGAAATTTAATAAGTGAAATTGGATAGTAATTAACAGTTATAATGAGTGGGTTGGCAGAGTAAATATCAACGCTGTACATATTCGAATTACAGTCTGCTTTGTTGGTGTTAAGTTAATTACGTTTTCGGTAATCACGAACATGTGTATATTTTAGTGTATGTTGACATTGGTTTGGTAGTGCTGCATGCAATTTTGTGCACGTATTTATACTCGTTACCTTAAAAGCCCAAACCCTAGCCCAGAGCCCTAGCCCAGATCCCTAGCCCAGAGCCCTAGCCCAGAGCCCTAGCCCAGAGCCCTAGCCCAGAGCCCTAGCCCAGAGCCCTAGCCCAGAGCCCTAGCCCAGAGCCCTGGCCCAGAGCCCTAGCCGAGAACCTCAATTTTGATACTAGCCTTAGCTCTAGTCTTAGCCTCAGCTCTGGTACTAGTCTTAGTCCTAGTTCTAGCTTTAGCTTTGGTCCTAGTCTTAGCACTGATCCTAGTCTTAGCTCTGCTCCTAGCTCGAGGCCTGGTCGTTGCCTCAGTTTTGGTCTTAGCCTTAGGTCTGGTCTTAGATTAGTCTTATTTTTAGCCTTAGCAATGGCTCTAGCCTCAGCTCTGGTGTTAGCTTTAGTCCTAGCTCTAGTACTTAGTCTTACCATAGCTTTTGCCTTACCTTATACATACTCTACTGTATATACTTGCGCGTGTACTGTAATATAATAGTACTACTACAGTATCATAGCTCACTGTACAAAAAATCTTGCCAAAATTTACCTGAACATGTTCCGCGGTGGCAGTAAAAGCCGCTCCAAAACCTCAAAGCCGCCGGAAAAGAAGGCGGCCAAAGTCGCGGCAACAATTCCTGAGAATGGAATCGCAACACCGACTGTCAACTACCGAACCCATCATTTTGTTTTCGTTTTTTCAAGTTTTGAAGGTGAGTATTGGTTTAAAATGTCATAAAAATGATTTGATTTGTCCAGTTTTAGAAAAGGTGACATGTTATACGACGAAACATGCCTTACACTCAGAACGCGTTTCATCGTATAAAATGTCACTTTTTAAAATTTTTTAAAAATTTTGCTTTGAAATGTTTTTTTTTATCTTATTTTTTGATTTTTTAAGAACAGTGACATTTTATACGATGAAAAATGTCTAAAGCAAAAACACATTTCATCGTATAAAATGTCACTGATTTTTAAAATTCAAATTTTTGAGTTTAAAAATCATTTTCAAAATCCATTTTTAGAATTCACATTAGAATTTGACGTGATAAGAGCAGTGATGAATGATATGCAACAATACCTATTCGACTATGACATGGACATTGAATGCTCTACCTTTATATCAGAAAGCCCTACCCATATGGCCGAGTTTGTGCATCTTATGGAGCTGGTCAAAAGTCCACAGACTACTGTTGTTGTAGGTTTTTAAATTTTTTTTAATTAGGGTGGTGTAAGCCTAATAAGTCTAACTAAAGCTTGGCTGGGCTGAGATAGGCTGGGCTGGACGGGCTAAGTCTAGTACTAGGGTTCAAGCCTCAAGGCGCAGGTCTTGGTGTCGCAGGGCTGGGCTTGCTTTGGCTTGGCTGCGCTCACATAGGCTGGACTAGCTAAGTCTAGGGGTTAGGGCTCTGGGCTAGGGCTAGGGCTAGGGCTAGGGCTAGGGCTAAGGCTCTGGCTAGGGCTAGGGCTAGGGCTAGGGCTAGGGCTAGGGCTAGGGCTAGGGCTAGGGCTAGGGCTAGGGCTCTGGCTAGGGCTGGTAAGCTACTAAATGTACATTATTGTAGGGTTTTATTGGTGACAAGTATGGACCACCTCAAATTCCATTGAAAATCGACCATGTTGAATTTGGTTGTCTACGGGCTACAGCTGTGGAAATCTCTCAAGGTATCGTTTTTTATTCAATTCTTTTGCAAAATTAAAATTTTTTACCCAAAAAACGAACTTTTGGATCATTTTAAAAAATTTTAAGAGTAAAGTTTTGACACTTTTAAGAAATGAAAGTGGTGTGGAAGATTTGTAATGTATTTTACACTAAAAATCTTCCACCGAACTTCCATTTTAAAGAAGGCTCAAAATGGCCTAAAAATGACTTTTTGGCACTTTTTGGGCGTAGAATTTTTGTGGAAGATTTGTAATGTATATTGCACTGAAAATCTTCCACCAAATTACCACTTCTCAAAAGTGTCAAAAACGTGTTTTTAGGTCATTTTAAGACATTTTAAAAATAAAAGTTGAGTGGAAGATTTTCAGTGCAAAACTTTCACTTTTTAAAACTTAAAAAATAGGATTTTTATGCCATTTTAAGACATTTTAGGTATTTTTAAACTGAAAACATGCGTTATTTTACATTTTTCTAACCTTTTGAGACTTTTATACCTATTTATACCTCTCTTCAGACGCCAAACTCCTAGAACAATGTTACATTCAAACCCAGCAAAACGGCCCATTTTACTTGAATACTCGAAAATCGACCGATGAAATGAAAAAATTGACCACACTGATAAGAAAAGCGACTTTACGAGCGTTAGAAGATGGCACATTGGTCTCGGCCAATGGGGAAAAGTCAATGGGACTTCAATTTCAAACCAGTTTTGTGGAGAAAGTGGCCCAGAAGCTAATGGAACAGCCTCTAAAACACCTGCTGGTACTACGGAAGTTCAAAGGTTGGTACTGTTTTTTGATTTTGGTGGTTGTGAGAAAGTTCTTGCCATTTTGTGTCTTGTAAAGAAAGTTCTTGCCATTTTTTGTTTTGTAAAGAAAGTTCTTGCCATTTTTTGTTTTGTAAAGAAAGTTCTTGCCATTTTTTGTTTTTTAAAAAAAGTTCTTTCAACATTTTGCTTTGTAAAGAAAGTTTTTGCAATTTTTTATTTTGTAAAGGAAGTTCTTGCAATTTTTTATTTTGTAAAGAAAGTTCTTGCCATTTTTTGTTTTGTAAAGAAAGTTCTTGCCATTTTTTGTTTTGTAAAGAAAGTTCTTGCCATTTTTTGTTTTTTAAAAAAAGTTCTTTCAACATTTTGCTTTGTAAAGAAAGTTCTTGCCATTTTTTGTTTTTTAAAAAAAGTTCTTTCAACATTTTGCTTTGTAAAGAAAGTTCTTGCAATTTTTTATTTTGTAAAGAAAGTTCTTGCAATTTTTTATTTTGTATAGAAAGTTCTTGCTTCTTTTTCATCGACGAAAAGCAACCCATTTCGCCCCCTTTCCCTCTCTCTCTACCGCTCTTTTCTCTCTCGTCCAATCGTCAAACCCAGTCGAAAACTAAGTGCCAAATCTAACCTAACCCTCTGCCTTGCCATTTGGAGTATCGCTTCTCGGCCTTTTGGCTAAGATCAAAGTGTAGTATCTGTTCTTATCGGTTTAATCTCCGGTACGACTTCTATTGAAGTCATTCGAGATTAACAGATTTTTGGGACCAGCTGAGTTGCGAAGGCTTGCCTTCCGCTCGGCAAGGGTCGGCCCGGTCTTGCACCTACTTCCGGGAACGGCCCATATATTTTTGTTCTTACTGTACTACGAAGGGTGCGTTGTACTACTACTGGTACTCAAAAGCCTCTTTCTTAAAAAATGGCAAGAACTTTCTTTACAAAACAATTAATGGCAAGAACTTTCTTTACAAAACAAAAAATTGCAAAAACTTTCTTTCCAACTCTATATATGAATTTTTTTACAGATGTTGAAGCCAAATCAGAGGACTGTATCTGGAAGGACTTTGATGCAAATCGATTTGAAAAAGTGGCCGCCTTGAAGAATAAAATTTCGGAAAAAATGCCAAAAGAAGCCTACATATCACACGTCTTGAATACCAAAAATATGGATCCAAGCAGGTGGTTGACTGGAAAAGATGCTGGGATTTACGAACGACAACTCACTATGGATGTAGGTTTGGCTTTTAGACAATTTTGGGTGATTTGAAAAATGGAAGTTGAGTGGAAGACCTGTAATTTATTTCACATTGAAAATTTTCCACTCAACTTCCAATTTTAAAAAGTCTTAAAAAGGCTTAAAACAACGTTTTTGACACTTTTTAGAAGTGGAAGTTGGGTGGAAGATTTTCAGTGCAAAATACATTACAAATCTTCCACCAAACTTCCACTTCTAAAAATTTTTAAAACCGTGTTTTTAGGCCATTTTAAGAGTTTTTGAAAGTGGAAGGTTAGTGGAAGATTTTTAGTGCAAAATACATTACAAATCTTCCACCAAACTTCTACTTTTAAAATTGCTCAATTATGGCTGTTTTTTCATTTTTAAACAAAATTTTTGATTTTTTGGGTTTAAAATAGTAAAATACGTGCTGCTCTTTACTGTCAGTTATTTTTATCTGGTTATTAGGTGCCGACATAAAGAACCCGCCATTTTTAACAGGCAATTACAGAAAAAGTATGGCGGGTTCTTTATGTCGGCACCTAATAAAATTAAATTTTTTTAAATTTTGTGCCATTTTAGCTAATAACATCCCTAAAAAAGCATGTCACAGTGTTGCCAAGAGTAAATACAAATGTTTTATCGACCGACCAGGACCAAGCGACACGGGACCATCAGGTCCACTTGGACTACTTAAAAGAAGTGGCAGGACAAGTCTGGGTGTCGAGAAAAGATGACGTGGATGACAGAATAAGTGAAGTTATTAAGAAAGGAATGGAAAAACCGCATTGTGTCCTATTTCATGGCCCACCTGGCTCAGGAAAGTCGGCTACTATAGCCAGGTTTTACAATTTACTGAAGAGTGAAGCTTGCTATGTCATACCACGGTTCACTCAGTTAACGGATTGCTCAATGTATGCGAATGAGCTGTTGAAGGGAATATTTTTGACTGTGAGTTCAGTTTTTTTAACTGTAATTTAAATTTCTTTTTATTTTTGATTTTTTGGAGACATGTTATACGATGAGATGTGTATGTGTCATAAGTATGTACATGTTTCATCGTATAAGATCTCAATTCTTTATTTTTTAAAGTTAAATTTAAGAAAAATGACAAAAATATGCCTAAAAATATGGTTTATTCTAGTTTTTTTTTATTTTTGACTTTTTTGGAGACAAGTTATACAATGAAATGTGTACGTATGGACATGTTTAATCGTATAAGATGCCGCTTTCTAAACATTTTGGTTTAAAAATGAATTGAACTAAAGGAATATAGGCTTGATAAATTTAAAATTAAGGTGTTTTTAATTTTTGAATTAGCGGGGGACAAGTTATACGGTGAACTGTGTATGGGCATGTTTTATCGTATAAGGTGTCATTTCTTTAAAAGTTTAAAGTTGAAATTAAGAAAAACGAAGAAATTATGCCTAATTATATGAATTATTTTTGTTTTTTTAAAAATATTTTTGATTTTTTGGAGACAAGGTGAAGTGTGTACGGACATGTTTTAACGTATATATAACATGTCGTTTTGAAAAGTTTTTAAAATTGTTATTTAACAAATGTAAAATACGCGTCGTTTTCGTATAGTGTTATAAATTTTTACATTTTAAATTTTGGGAGACAAGTTATACGGCGGAATGTGTTGGGACAAAGTTTATCGTATAACATGTCATTTAATTTTTTGGAAGTTTTTTAAACATAGATTTAAAAACGTCTTAAAATTGAAAATTCAATTTTTAAAAATTTTGTATTTTCAGTTATGTGAAGCAGCCAAAGTCGACGCCACCCCCATGAACGCTTCATTTACCCTGCCCATGATCCTCTCTCAGGCCATGTTGATATTGGAGAAGGTGGACAAGCCCGTCTTCATCTTGCTTGACAATGCCAATCATCTGAAGTTTGGTCGAAGCCTGAGTGAGGCCGAGAAGCCTTTGGCCAAGTTGTTACCTAAAACTAGTATAATATATACTGGCAATGTGGCTGATCTTCAGATCAGTTGCTTCCCAATGGCTGATGAAGTGGTACCGTTGGGACTGATTCAAGGCGAAGTTTGTTTGGAGATCTTGAAAAATGAAATGAATGCGGCTTATGGATGCTTGGACAATGTTGGGATGGTACAACAAATGGTAGGTTAATGGTACTGTTGGTGGGGTAGGGTAGGGTAAAGTGAGTGGCTTGGCCAAACAGCACAAAATTATTTTTCAATTTGAAAAAAGACGTAAAATTTACTAAGCTTAGACCTATTAAGCCTAAGCCTACTAAACCTAAGCCTATTAAGCTTAAGCCTATTAAGCCTAAGCCTGCTAAACCTAAGCCTACTAAGCCTAATAAGCTTAAATCTACTAAGCCTAAGCCTACTAAGCCTAAGCCTACTAAGCCTAAGCCTACTAAGCCTAAGCCTACTAAGCCTAAGCCTACTAAGCCTACTAAGCCTACTAAGCCTAAGCCTACTAAGCCTAAGCCTACTAAGCCTAAGCCTACTAAGCCTAAGCCTACTAAGAATAAGGCTACTAAGCCTAAGCCTACTAAACCTAAGCATACTCAGCCTAAGCCTACTAAGCCTAAGCCTACTAAGCCTAAGCCTACTAAGCCTAAGCCTACTAAGCCTAAGCCTATTAAGCCTAAGCCTACTAAGCCTATGCCTACTACGTTTGAAACTACTAGGCCTAAGCCCATTGAGACTAAGTCTAATGAGCCTGCTAAGCCTAAGGTAGTAAGCCCAAGACTAGCTTATAAAGACTGCGACCTATCTCATAATACCCGCCTCTGACAAACTTTGCCCTGCCTTTGCTGATCCATTAAAGTTATTTTGTCCCACTCCTTTCCTTCACCTCTCCGACTCTTACTCTCTACGCATGGCTTTGCTCCTAGCTGGCAAAACGTCCGAAAAAAATAAAAAAATTTTGCGATATTACCTAATTTTATGATATAATATTAAGATGGCCTTAGGGAAATTGCAAGAAATTATATTGCGCAACTTTTTCTTATGCAATTTTATGGTTTTATATAATATTTGCCTCGATGTAAAACGACCCAACAAATTACTGCGAGTACGGCAGTTTTACTCTATTTTACTTCGAGATGGCGTTATTTACCGGTAGGCGTCTTACATAATGTGAATGTGATAAGACATTTTTTTAACATGCAGTAGGACAGTTAAAGCATGGACCTAGATTAGAGCTATAGTATAAAAATTAAGCTATAGACCTTTAGTACCTAAATAAAGGGTTAGGTTAGGTTTGGCACATGTTTTTCGATTGGGTTTGAGAGTGGGGCGAGAGAGAAGAGAGCGGTAGAGAGAGAGAGGGAAAGGGAGCGAAAGAGTTTGCTTTTCGTCGATGAAGAAAATAGTTTTCATCAACTACCGATGGTGAAAAAGGTTGAAAGTAATATTTTTATTTAAAAATGGCAAGAACTTTCTTTACAAAACAAAAAATGTGAGGCAATAATTTTATTTGCAGGCTGTTGTTATTAATAAAAATTTAAAAACGATTAATTTTTAGCTTTTTCGTAAATGGAAGTTGAGTGGAATATTTGTAATGTATTTCGCATTGAAAATCTTCCACTCAACTTCCATTTTCAAAATGTCTTAAAATGGCCTAAAAATGAGTTTTTAGCACTTTTTAGAAGTGGAAGTTTGATGGAAGATTTTCAGCGCAAATACATTATAAATCTTCCACTCAGCTTCCACTATTTACCTTTATCAAAATCGATACGTGTTTTTACGCTATTTTTAAAAGATTTTGGAATTGAAAGTTTGGTGGAAGGTTTTTTTGTGCAAATTACGTTACAAATCTTCCACTCAGCTTCCACTTTTTATCTTTATCAAAATCGATACTATAAGTACTATTTTTGCTTTAAAATGCCATTTTGAAACTATTCCAGTACTAATTCCGATCTTTTCAGCACAAATCCGACTCTCTTGACTTGACCTTGGGTCGATTACAAGCTCGCGAGCTGAAAGAAGTTAGTCCGGTCTTTTTCAAAAAACTAGAACAATATTTGCAAAGACTGGAGGAACAGTACGATGCCCAGACCGTTCGAATCATGTGTCAAATGTTGGCCGTTTCGCCGTTTGGTCTGACTTTGGCCGAACTGGCCGATGGCGTTCGATTGGCCAAGTTTCAGAATGGAGTTGTGACTAAAGCTCAACACTTGTTCTCACCCATGCCTCAGATGGTGTTTCGGAGGATTGGTAAGTTGGTACAGATTATTTTTGGTCTTTTAAGGATAATATTGGTTATTTCTGACCACTTTTTATCATTTTAAAATCGACTTTCTAACTTATACGACTTTTCAAAAAAGTGGAAGTTGAGTGGAAGATTTGTAATGTATTTTGCACTAAAAATCTTCCACTCAACTTCCATTTTAAAAAAATTTTAAAATTGCTTAAAAACACGTTTTTGAGCGTTTTTTGGGGGTGGAAGTTTGGTGGAACATTTTCAATGTATTTTGCTCTGAAAATCTTCCATCAAAATTCCACTTCCAAAAAGGGGCAGAAAGTCATTTTTAGGCCATTTTAAGACATTTTGGAAATGGGAGTTGAGTGGAAGATTCTCAGTGCAAAATACACTACAAATCTTCCACTCAACTTCCACTTTTAAAAAAATAGTTTTTGGTAGTTTTAATGAAAAATCTTGGCATTTTGTAACTTGTGTAGGACCTTATAGCTATTTTGATGTTAAAATGTCATTTTCAAGCTTTAGTTTTATTATATTTTGTCATTCCAGCTCAGTTATGTGTTCCAATCCATATCCAAGACCGCATCGCCTACCGTATTCGTCATCCCATCAACGCAGTATTAATTCGACAAAAGTATATGCAAACAGCGACGGAATTGATAAAGACGCATGAAATAATGTCAGAACTCTTCAAAACCGGCCCAAACTTGGAGGTGGGAAGACCGAATGCGCAGTCGGCTGGGGTCATCAACTACCCTCCGGCTATCACCAAGGACTCGAGGAGCTTGAGGAGGCTACGGTATTCTTGGTACTATTTGCTGCATTCTGGTGAGTAGGGTAGGGTAGGGTAGGGTAGGGTGGGGTAGGGTAGGGTAGGGTAGGGTAGGGTAGGGTAGGGTAGGGTAGGGTAGTGTAGGGTAGGGTAGGGTAGGGTAGGGTAGGGTAGGGTAGGGTAGGGTAGGGTAGGGTAGGGTAGGTTAGGGTAGGGTAGGGTAGAGTAGGGCTGGATGAGGTAGGGTAGGGTATAGCAAAACTTTTATTCGTTACAGTATGTTAAAATGCTATGTGTGCCGTATTTTACATTACATTTCACTCTCAAACTACCGTATTCCAGCCAACATTGACGAGCTGAAGACCGAAGCCCTGTGTGCATTTGAATATATTGAAGGCGTGTTTCAATTTTTTGGACTAACCAGGCTTCTAACAATATTTGAGGAATGCCTACAGCAAGTTTTGCACCATGATCTACTAGTACTATTTGAACAAATTTTGCTGCCAGCTATACCTACATTAATACATGATGGAAGTCAATTTGTTTCGGAATTCATCAATCGACTGCGGTATCGAAGAGGTAATTTTTGAGTTTTTTAAAATTTTTTTAGCGTTTTTTATACAATTTTGATATAGAATAGGGTATTTTGGCCTTAAAAACAAAAATTCAGGTTTTCGTTGTGGGACCAATTTTTTTATCTAAATATTGAAAAATTTTAAAACTTTTAGCAATTCTTGCATTTTTATTGCCGTTTTTACCAATTTACAAGAAAAAATCAAATCAGGGCAAAACATCAACAAACTGGAAATTCAGGTTTTCGTGGTGGGACCAAAATCTTATGTAAAATGTTAGAAAAATTAAAATTTGGACAATTCTTGCACTTTTGTCATTGTTTTTATATTACTTTTTAAGAATTTTATAACGAACACATAAAAAGATGACATATCAGGTTTTCGTGTTGGGACCCATGATTTTTAAAAATTTCACGCTTTATTGTTTTTTGTTGCCATTTTGACATTTTTACACTATTGTATTGCTATATTTTAAAGAAAAATTTGTTTAAAGTCTAAAACCGGAAATATCAGGTTTTCGTGGCGGGACTCAAATTTTTTGAAAATTAGCTAAATATTGAAGTTATGGCAAATTTGACTTAAAAGTCGACATTTATGACAAGATTTAAAATTTTTCAAAATTCTTTTTGAAAATACAAGTAAAATTTTAGCCATGAACAGTAGCTACCTGAACGAACTGATAGAACAAGCCATGTTATGGACGGATTTCTACACAAATGGCTCATTACTAGTTCCAATGACATGTTGGATTCCACCGCCCAAAATGAAACAAGTTGTCAGTTTTGAAGTACCATTCCAGGCTACAAAACCAATCTTACATCCAACTTGTAATCATCAACACTTACTGATAACTGGTGATAATGCTGCACCAGGCGTGATTTACATGTACCATATTGCTTCTCAGGTCCTTTTTAAAACTTTTAAAGGTGGGTTTAACGATATTTTTTGAATTTTTAAGCTTGTGACCGATTTTGGGGCATTTAGAAAAAGTGGAAGCTGAGTGGAAGATTTGTTATGTATTTTGCACTGAAAATCTTCCACTCAACTTCCATTTTTAAAAAGTCTTAAAATGGCTTAAAAATGAGTTTTTGCCATTTTTTAGATGTGGAAATTAGTTGGAAGATTTTCAGTGCAAAATACATTACAAATCTTCCACCAAACTTCCACTTCTAAAAATTTTTAAAAACGTGTTTTTAGGCCATTTTAAGAGTTTTTGAAAGTGGAGAGATTAAAATTCCACTTCTAAAAAGTGTCAAAAACTCATTTTTAGGCAATTTTAAGAGATTTTAAAAATGGAAGTTGAGTGGAAGATTTTCAGTGCAAATTACGTAACAAATCTTCCCCTCAGCTTCCACTTTCAAACCTTTGATTTTTAAACGGGTATTTATTAAAAATAAGCTTTTTGGGGAATTTTTAGGCATAAAATCAAAATTTTTGCCATTTTCAGCTCACACTGACCGGGTAACCTCATTTCAAACATCATCAGATGGCACTTTTTTCACTTCCACGTCGTGCGACACGACTGTTCGTGTCTGGTCGATCCTCAACGTATGTTTTTTACGGAAGTTTAATGAAAAGGCCAAGTTTTACAACAACGAAGTTGTAAGTTGGGGTGGATATATGAAAAAAAATTAAAAATGTAAAAAAAAATTTTTTTTTGTTATAAAAGTTTTGAGAAAATGGCATTCCACTTCTGAAAAGTGTCAAAAACTCATTTTTAGGCCATTTGAAGACATTTTGAAAATGGAAGTTGAGTGGAAGATTTTCAGTGCAAAATACATTACAAATCTTCCACGTAACTTCCACTTCTAAAAAACACTCAAATTGGTTTTTTGGATCTGTAAACAAAGTTTTTGCTTCAAAACTTATTTTTTAAAGTTAAAAGTACATGTTTCAGTTAGAATGTTCAAAAACGATAAAATGGAGCGAGTCGAAGGTGTTATGTTCAGCTTTGGCTGAAGATGATCGTCGCTTAATAGTAGGCTCAGCAGATTCGACTGCCAGAATCATAGACCTTGAGACTGGGAAAGTGGTCAAGTCATTCCCTGACCACATTGGACCAGTGGTCGATTTGAAGTTAATGTCCAAGGACGAGTTATTGGTTACTGGCAGTGGTGATTTCGCTGTCATGGTCTGGGACCTTAACACTGGAATGGTAGGGTTACTGTAATTTTGTACAGTAGGCTAGAGATAAGATACTGTAAGATATAACTGAGGCTTGTCGTAGTATTCGTAGAGTTAAGACTAAGGATAAGGCCAGGCTTAAATTTATAAAATTAAAAATTATAGGTAATAACAAAGATGGTAGGACTAATGGCCCCAGTAACATGCCTTACTGTAACTTCCAATGACGCATTCTTGGCTGTAGCATGCGAAGATGAAACGCTACGGGTCTTCAGCACAGTTTCTACTCAAGAGCTTCATGAACTTTCGGTAAGATTAAGCCAAACACAATTTTTTTTGGCGTGGAAGTTAAGTGGAAGATTTGTAATGTGTTTTGCACTAAAAATCTTCCACCCAACTTCCATTTTTAAAATGTCTTAAAATAGCCTAAAAATGACTTTCTGACCATTTTTAAGAGTGGAAGATTGGTGGAAGATTTTTAGTGCAAAATACATTACAAATCTTCCACCCAACTTCCACTTTTTAAAAATAAAATATCTGGTTTGACAGACTTAAAAATGAATTTTTAGGGTCACGACAGTCGTGTAAATGCGTTATGTTCAACAATAGATGACTGTAAATTGTTCGCCGCAACAACGAAGAAGATCGTATGTTATGATGTACATAACGGCCAGATATTAGAGCTACTGGAATGCTCTCAGAAATTGCCTGTTACTTCTTTGAAGGTTGGTATTTATTTATATTTGGACCAAACTTGGAGGGAATAACACAATTTTACAAATTAAGAAAGTGGAAGCTGAGTGGAAGATTCGTAATGTATTTTGCACTGAAAATCTTCCACTCAACTTCCATTTTCAAAATGTCTTAAAATGGCTTAAAAATGACTTTTTGACACTTTTTAGAGGTAGAAGTTTAGTGGAAGATTTTTAGTGTATTTTTCACTGAGAATCTTCCACTCAACTTTCATTTTAATTTTTTCATTAATTTAGGTTTATAATGGCATTATTTAAATAAAAACTGTTTTCACTGGTATTTTATGAGATTAAAAAGGCATTTTTGATGAAATTTTTTAAAAAGCTCATTAAGAAATGGCACAAAACTTCATTTTCAGATCAGTGATGACAATTCCTTCCTATTAGCCTCATGTGGCAGTCGAATGCACATGTGGGATGTCAACTCAATTGAGAATGAGCCAATGGTGAATTCGGCTGCTTCTTTGATTTGTATGAAGTTGGCACCAGACGAGCGGACTGCAGCATGTGGTACTGAAGATGGAGTACTAGCTGTATGGGACCTGGATGGTTGTAGATGCTTGTGGACGGTAGGGGAATTGAATTTTGATTTTTCTAGACCAAAAAATGTGGTTCTGTATTGGAAAAAGGCGAAGAACTTGTTCGTAGGCTTGAAAATGGCAAGATTTAGAAGTGGAAGTTTTTTTTGTAATTTGCGCTGAAAATTTTTCACTCAACTTCCATTTTCAAAATGTCATAAAATGGCCTAAAAATGACTTTTTGACACTTTTTGGAAGTGAAAGTTAGGTGGAAGATTTTTAGTGTATTTTCCACTGAAAATCTTCCACTCAACTTCCACTTTTTAAATTTGAAATTTGGCCGGCTTATAGGCTAAAATATGGTATGAAACGTTTTGGTGGGGAATAAAATGGCAAGAACTTTCTTTACAAAGCAAAAAATTGCAAGAACTTTCTTTACAAAACAAAAAATGGAAAAAACTTTATTTCCAGACCTCGCAACAAAAGTCCGGCGCCGTAACAGCGGTCGAATTCACGGTTGATAGTATGTTCGTCCTCTCAGGCAGTGCTCAAGGCTCAATAACAATGTGGGAGACTTCGAGTGGGCAGTTGACGAAGCAATTCGATCTTCACAACGAAGCCATCGTGGAGATCGTATGCTTCACGGACGGCAACAACGTGCTCACGGTGGACAGGAACGATGCTGCTTTCATTTGGTCACTATCGTCTTCGGAAGACCCTAGTCAAATTGAGATATTGTCATCGTTCACGGCGGTTAGAGCACCAGTGTTCGTGAGGTTGGAGGATAGTGTCATCATATCGTATAATACTCAGAATATCAAGGAGTAAGTGGTGGTAAAAGGAATTAAAAGGGGGTTATTTTAGGGTGAAAAGGGCAGGTTGGGTACTGTAGGGTGAATAAAAATTTAAATTTTATATCGAAAACTTTGTTTACAGAACAAAACTGAATACTTTTTTAAAAATGGAAGTTGAGTGGAATATTTGTAATGTATTTTGCACTGAAAATCTTCCACTCAACTTCAATTTTTAAAATGTCTTAAAATGGCTTAAAACTGACTTTTTGACACTTTTTGAAAGTGGAAGGTATGTGGAAGAATTTCAGTGCAAAATACATTACAAATCTTCCACCCAAATTCCACTACTAAAAAGTCTCAAAAACGTGTTTTTAGGTTATTTTAAGACTTTTTTAAAATGAAAGTTTGGTGAAAGATTTTTAGTGCAAAATTCATTACAAATCTTCCACTCAACCTCCACTTTTTTAAACTGCTATTTATATTGTTTATGACTTAAAAATAGGTAGGAAGTTATTTTTGGGTCTAGAAAATGTAAAAAATTAACTTTGTGGTGTGTAAAATGGCATCGAAATTTTAAAAAATTCCAGAGTAAACGTCTGGACCCAGTACGATGCAGTATTAACCATAAAAACCAAAGCCCATCATTCTGGTGACATTACTTGCTATCATGCTAATCAAACTGGTACCACCTTCGCTACTGGTTCAGCCGATAACTCTTTAAAGATCTGGAGAGTAGATACTGGCTTCCTGACTCAAGTACTGGTTGGGCATGACAATGTAGTACTATGCTGCTATTGTAGTCACGATGGCAAGTCGGTGGCGTCTGGAGGCAAAGACAAACAGGGCTTCGTATGGTGCACTCAGACCGGTCAAAGCCGGCTACAGTACACTGCCAAGGGGGCGATTACCTGTATACAGTTGACTCATGATGGCAGTATTGTCATTTCTGGTAAGTTATTTTAAATTTTTCTATAAGATCTTGGGGTTAAGGTCTTGGGATGAGGAAAGAAGGGGTGATTTTTGAAGGTTCTTGGAACTGGAAGTTGAGTGGAAGATTTGTAATGTAATTAGCACTGAAAATCTTCCACACACGTTCCACTTCCAAAAAGAGTCAAAAACCCATTTTTAAGCAATTTTAAGACATTTTGAAAATGGAAGTTGTGTGGAAGATTTTTAGTGCAAATTACATTACAAATCTTCCACTCAACTTCCACTTTTTAAATAGCTCTAAAACTGCTCAAAAGCTCATTTTTTTATTTTAGGTGACGATGCTGGCTGGATAGAAGCCTACTACGTTCCGACGCAACAACTTTTGTCTAGTTTTAACGCTCATCGACCAGTCGAAGGACTCTTGATATCAATGGAAGCTCATCGTATTTTAGCCAAATTAGCACATACTGCCCAAATGCCGATTTTGTGTTTGCATAACACGCCGGCCGGTCAATATCGAAGTGAGCGGCATCGATTGCACACTTTGCTAAGCACTAACAGCCTCACAAGTAGGTAATGACACACCTTTTCCGATTTCCTGCACTTTCCGATACTAACATTGATGTTGTACTGTATCTTATGTGTTGTACTGTAGAGCAGTAAGGCAAGACAAAGTGTGCTAATTGGGTTACAACAAGCGTAGAGTAGGATAGAGTAGGATAGGGTAGGGTAAACCTACCAAGCTTAAGCCCACTAAGCCTAAACCTACTAAGCCTAAGCCTACTAAGTCTGAGCCTACTAAACTTAAGCTTACTAAACCTAACTTACTAAACCTAAGCCTACTAAGCCTAAGCCTACTAGCCTAAGTCTACTAAGCCCAAGCCTACTAAGCCTAACCTTACTGTGTGTTTTGTCTCTATTACTGTACCTCACCTTTCTCTATACTACCAAGAACCAGTACAATTAGTACTAACGAAAAGTTTTAAGCCGGAAATGAGGAGACGGTTTCCCTAACCAACTTCCAACGTCCACGCTCATCGGTCGGTGATATAGCCGCCCAAAATCGACCAGCAACTACAGTAATCAATGTTATGGAAATTAAGCACGACACTGTAGTCTCAAATGTTTCCAATGGTAGTAAGCCAGACAAAAACGGTCGAAAATCGAATGTTTTGGAGAAAAGTCAATCGAGTACTGTGTCGGCTTCTGGAGATACAAAGACTTCTACGAGCAATACTACGGCGGTGGCTAAGAAATCAAAGGCTTGTAATGTACTATAGAAAGGTTTTTTGAAAGGTCGAGCTACCGTATTTACCCTAGTCAACTCTACTTTACTTTCCCCTACCCTACCCTACCCTACCCTACCCTACCCTACCCTACCCTACCCTACCCTACCCTACCCTACCCTACCCTACTCTACCCTTCCCTACCTGCCCTACCCTGTCTTACTCAGCTTTTTATGACCCCTGCTTGACACTACTTTATCCTAACCTACTCTTTCCTACCCTACCTCCATTTTACCGTACACTAACCTAACTTTCCCTACCTTACCCTAATGTACACTATCTTACCCTGCCCTACTCTATCCCAATCTAGCCTGAACTACCCCATGCTACTCTGCCCCACCTTACTCTTCCCGAGTCTTGTCTGCCCAACCTTACCTTATTCTGTGCCGATTTTTTACCCCGCCCGCAGACCAAAAGTCCCCGCCCGGCACTGAGGGTAATCTAGGAATATGGTCTTATACTTTAAAGATTACTGTATTTTGTTGTATAATGTATTCTCATAGATTTAGGTCATGGAGGTTTTATGATTTTTGAGCTTTTTATGTGATACTGTAACTTTTTTAAAAATTTTTTACTTTGACAGTCACTTGACGGGTATTTATTTACTAAATTGTTATCTCTTGGCATTATTTTTCAAACTTTTTTTATTTTATTGATTTTTATTTGTGTTAGTCTCTAATCTCTACCCGCTGTGAACGGTCTTTCACCTATCATTATATAGTACAATACTATTGACAAAATTATAAAGTATGCATAATATTTATTGAATAAAACTGTTACATATGTATATATGGTAATAATAATTGTGTCCCGCTACATTTGCTTCAACTTAATAAAACAATGTTTGATATATGAGTTTGGCGGGAAAAATAAATTCAAAAATCCGTACCGTCCGGATCGCCTGCAAAAGGCGAAGCTCTGAGAACAACCTAATAAAACTAATATGGCTGATATATAATAGAAAGCTGAGTCAGTAATACACAAACTATAAATTGTTATCTAAAGATACGAATTTTGGATTACTCCAATTCTATGATTCCACCAGAAAAGGTCTACACCCCGAAGAGAGGTCTATGGAGAAAAAAGGTCTGCAATAAAATACAAAAAAAATGTTTTTGATATAATATAATGTTATATTGTATTTTTACCATAGTAATAGGTAAGATACCAAAGTGACATGGTATATGGTGATTACTATAGTACAAAACTATACATTTTTATGTTAACTTACCCTACCTTACCCTACCCTTATTTACGTACCGTTATTTAAAGGTAACAAACTGCAATATAATTAATTTGACTTACGCTAGATACTGCAACAGTCCTAATAGCGACGATAAGATTGAGCACAGCATCGATCATGGCGATGCACATGACCAATGTCATAATAAACATTGTTTCGAGTTGAGTGCTATAACACGTCATTGTTTGTTCATTGATCGTTTCAGCTTCCGTCGCATAATTGATGTTACACACGAAAGCCTAAAAACAGGTGGTATTGTTAAATAATTAAAACTGTAATATAAAAAACATTTTTGTCAAAAAACTTAGAAAAATGTTTAGTTTTGTACTATAGTAATCACCATATACCATGTCACTGTGGTATCTTACCTATTACCATGCTAAAAATACATTATAACATTATATTATATGTATCACAAATATTTTTTTGTATTTTATTGTAGACCTTTTTTCCCCGTGGACCTTTTCGGGTGTAAAACTTTTTGGTTTGTAGACCTTTTTTTACACCGAAGAGATAGAATTGGGTAGCTGGTCAAACTACACGTGATTGCAAGGATTTTGCGTGTAGGGGGGGGAGTGGAAGGGAATGGATACGATAGTGTACCGCGTTACAATGTCCAACGTCCTTTGGGTACCCTACGTTGGAGCATATATCCTACAGTGCCAGCGTAATGCGAGACAATGGTCCCGTGTGGTGGCGGGCGAAAGGTTCTTTGGAAGGCCCTATCAATTAATTAAATGTGGGCATCCGTTGTGCCAACAGCCAAACGCCTGAGGTAAATCGGCTCAGCCAATCGACTCTCATTCCTTGTGGTAATACTATTGTACGACATGGCATACGCGCTGATTATTATACGGCGTAATGCTGGATATTTGCCATATTTCTGCCTGTAACGAGTGTAGTTTGCTTTTTGGTTTCCCTATTCACCTAAACTTCTAATGCACCGACCTCAAGAGAGTCACACTTACGTCTTACGTATACACTTCAATCTCCTACCTCTGTCTTTGAAACGTCAGAGTTAAGAGCGCACGCTTTTTACGACGCTTAGTTCAAATAGGTCGTAGCTTAACTTGCTATCTAATTCAATGTTAGCAACTTTCCACCTGATCCACTGATAGCAACTGTCTATATCATCCACTGGTAGCAACTTTCTATATCATCCACTGGTAGCAAGCAAATAGCTTTAACAAAGTCTTTGTTTACGCTGTGTAGCCGCTAAAGTCGATTGGTAAAATTAAAAGATGGCCTAATTTTTTCTTCATAATCAAGTTCATTGACACCTAATGACACCAAAAGGTGTATCTCCCGCGAAGGGAATATCAGACATACATATCAAAGTAGAACGAGAGAGAGAGAGAGAGAGAGACCACCGTTTCCAACAGTTCTCACGTAAATTCTAATATATTCAGATAGGGCCACGAGCGGACCTACCCAAGGGGGCGTGTCCTGTGCTTAAATAAGCTTTTTAGTTTAATATCGACTAGATTACTGTCACAAATATTATTTAGCAGCAAAAATTGGGGTCACTTCCCGCAAGGTGTTTATATTGGAAGACTGATCTCATTTACGAAAATAGAAAACAGTTAAAAAAGTGAGACGAAGATCATTTGACAATTCTTCTTTGTCCTCGTTCTTACAAAAATATTTTTGTTGATTTGCATAACTTGTTTTTTGATCGCTTTTGCGACATGTCCTTTTAGTGTCCTTTATTGTAATCTTGGTCTGGTTTGAGCTGATTTGCTTGTTTGATGGGGCCAATATTTTTACAATTACGTCCTAAAACGTTTCAGAATTTTGTGCTACAGGACCTTGAATTGCCATTTCTTTCACTGTGCAGATTTCAACTAGAAACCGACGATTCTGTAGGATGATCTCTCCTGTTGCAGTCTACTCTATCCAAATTTGGGTGACGCTGTTCCGATAGTGGGTTAAAATTCGGTCACAAAAGCTCGGCGATCAGCGACTTCCGGGCATCGTTGGATTACGTCGTGTTGTAGTTCTTCCTCATAGCAACTGTGGGTAACCGCTATAGACAGTTTATTTACGACGAATCTGTACGTGTATCTTAGGTTGACACATGTTGTGGGATTTCAGAACATGAGGCTTCTGCTTACCTATTCCACCAGATAGAGAGGGTCGCGCTCACTTGATCTCTGCCCCTGATGTTTATGTAAAGGCAAGTAAGCAAGGACGAATATAGTGTGCCAGCAGTGATTCTTTTTCCTTTTAATCATCTATTGCTTCTTCGTTGACTTTTTTAACATACACAAACTATAAATTGTTATTTAACTTCACCATTGTTGTTACGTGTAACACCGATTCTTTTCCATTGTAGACAAACTCTTTGCAAGTGTGATCTTTTTTCTACACACAGAAGGATCATTTTGCGTTTTTACTACAGCTAAGGGGCTTTATTTTGTTGTTGAATCTTTACTTATTGTAGGTACAGCTCTCGAAGACTTTCTATTATCTTATTTTACTTAAAGCTGTGGTAAAAAGATCTCTTTTTCTTACAGTACATTGTGTTAACTTCCTGTTCTACGAGTTTACGCATTCTGCTGTGTGTGCTAACTCATGAAAACTACGCAGTAAGCACACAGTTGTGCATATTAACCTAAAAGTCGTAGTACATGGCAATATATACAAGTATATAGGTAGTATATATCAATATATATAAGTATATAGGTAGTATATAGCAATATATACAAGTATATAGGTAGCATATAGCAAAATATACAAATATATGTATATTTTAATAACGTAGCATATCATTAATATAGCCTATGAATATAAAGTATAATATAAAAACTGTTTTTGGTTTTTAAATTTACGATCATGCTGTCTGTATCATAGTACAAGTTTTAAGTCACTGACTTATAGCATATAAGGAATTTTTTTAAATTTACATTTCATAGCGTTGCTTGGTAGTGGCTTCGAACACCATGTACTTCCAGTAGTGTGAAATCCATAAAGAAAGCGTTTATGACTCGGGAATTGCCCACTTTTGCCGGGTAATACATGTCCGGCCCTGCTGGGATATACTTTATTGTTTCCACAGGCCCACTTGGCACTCGACTATCCCGCCTGATTCTTTCCTAAAATATGGGTTAAAGAAGATGACATGTTTTATGTGGATCTTCGCTGAAATTTAAATTACGTCATTTAAGTCTATATCATAACGACCTCTACAAAAGTGAGCAACAACTACAAGAAAACTCACGACTTACGGATGGGTATTCATATGCGTGTCAACAAGGTAACCATAGGAGTGGTAACGAGTTAACCGTATGGGTGGTAACCGTCGTCCTCAATGAATGATGTGATCGTGATTCTTACGCCAGAATGGCCGTTTGTTGGCGTTGTTGATGCGGTACTGACTATAATTGTTTGAACCGGAGTGTTGATACAAAGTGGTTTGATTCTCTTTTTTCTACGACCATAGATTCGAAATGTACATCTTCCGTTTCTTCTTGTCTTGGTGCTACTTTCTTCTTTCCTTTTTATTACGCAATGAAATGCTACTTTTATTCCGTAACTAAAAATTTGTATTTTATGTGTGGACATTTTAAAAAATATATCTATAGCTATAGTAGTATATATTAAAATACATATATATATCGTGGTATATGGTGAAACCCATATATGTAGTAATATATTGTAAAATATATATAGTAGTAGATAGTAAAAGATACATATATATATAGTATATAGCAAAATACTCATACAAATCATAGTATATAGCAAAATATGT